CACACTTTGAAAAAGAAAAGTTGGTCTCAGTGATGTGAAGGGAATTTTACCTAAGGACGATGCAAGAAAGCAAGAAATGGTAAGACATTTGATATTTTCTTTTAGGTGTCTTTTTAGTAAAATAGATGGAGCTAAATCATCTCACGTCAAGTGATAAAATCTTAACTAAAGGCTAGATTACTTACTAAAATGTACAGTTATACATAACTGAAACTAATATCGTAAGATTACAAACTCAATGTTACTGTATAATTTATTTTATTATAATCCCTAAAATTAAGACTATAAATAATAATCCATCCTGATGCATTTTTATACCAATTAATATATTCTACATCATATCAATATATTCTTAAGAGGATGAATAAATAAGCACCTACAATACATAGCTAAATACAGAGATGGGGAAAGATTGAAAGATAAAATAGTTACTGGTTTAATGTTTTTAAACTAATACATTTGTGGTTGTATATTCTGATTTGGTTATTGTGTGTGCAATATTGCGTGTCAAAAATTCAAAAGTAAATTAATTGCTTTGTGCTTTTCAGAGAGTATTAAATACATGAAGATGTTTGAGGCTGTCAGCCTCCTACATAAATACCATCATTCATTTCCCGAATTGCAGAGTTACAGAGTTAATATGACAAGCTGGGACATCAAAGTAGTGCTGACAAGAACAGGGAAAACAGGAAGCTTGCCTGTCTTTCAGATACCAGAGTAATAACCAATCTATATAATCAGATATGTCGGAGATTCCCAGGCTAAATTCCACCCCAAGATCGCAGAACCTGGTCTACCTAAAGACACCCCTTTTTTCAACTGATGAAGCGACATCCTACAGTTTTCCATATATAAAGTGCTTTATGAATGTATATTCATAAAAAATGCAAGACATCATCTTATTCTTAGTCTTATGTAAGACAGTTTACAAACGAGAGCAGGCCGATTGACCCATCTAGCCAAGAGATACTAACTTTCGTTGAATGAAGGCAAAATATTGGCTTTAACCACATGGCTAAGTAGCTTGTTCCATGCTCACACAACCCTCTCAGTTTGTCTCTGTTTCACTGTTCATTTTGAAGAACTCCATTGGGCTAACTTTGTCTGTGCCTTTGAGCATCGACAAACATTCCTTTAAGTCCTGGAACGCATCTAGTTGCTCTTCTCTGAACAGGTTTCAGAGCAGCAACTTTATTATTTTATTATAATTTCTTATTGTTTATTACAATAGATATGTATCCATATTTACACATAATAATACTTAATGGACTTAATGGCTGCATTAAAAGTGAAAGCACAAAAGATCAGAAATTTAAGATAACTGACCTTTTTCCTGTGGATTTGTATATTACGTATCTGAGCAAAGCCAGATGTCAGTGATTTAGTGTTTTCTCTTCATGCGAGACAGTGAGCAGGACTCAGAATATTTGTTATGTTTCTGTTGCCCAGTATCTCCTGGCCAGTATGAAAACCATAAACCTGTGTGTCTATCAGTGTTAACAGGTGAAACCTGTTAATAAGCCAATGAAGAAAACAGTTAATAGCTTTGTTCACGTGCGTCTAACAGTATAACGTTTATTTGGTCATTTGCCTCCACTGAAACACCTTTGTGGGAGTGATGAAATAATTAAGGGAGGAGTCAGAGCTATGCTGGGAAGCTGAATACCTCAATAAGTTTTGATCTAGCTCAATTGTGTTTATCAAGATACATTTTTGTCATGGAAAATGTTTTAAACTGCTCGGTTTTGTTATGTTCTCTATTTGTGTTCTTATCAGCGGTCATTAAACACACAGATTTTTAATGATGAACGTGCACTTTATTAACACAGTGCTCTTAATTTCTTACAACACTAACCCGGTAGCTGCCTAACCAACTCCCCCTCAATCTACTACTCTCTCTCTCTATATATACACACACACTATTTACATATTCATGTACTGCGTCATCTGTGCAGTACGGCAACCCGTAAGGATCACACTCTACCAATATCCTTACAGGTTTGGTATATTCTGTGTGTACTGATACATCTCTGAATGTCTCATTAAGAGAGTAGGTGCTCCAGAGACGGCTATGTAAACTCTGTGAATTCAGGAACTGTGTTTTTGTTGGAGAGTGTACTTGTTCCTCCTGAAACGTAAGAATTGGAGCCAGGTGGTCATTCATAGCTGCTCCATATCACAAAGAAAAGATTTAAAAAAACGTACAATTGCCATTGCAGTATCTTAAATTTTACACACATAATGGGCTAGGTGTTATTGCTGAATTAAGGGATTGTATTTTTCCATGACTTGGTAGATGTGTTGAGAGAATCCATAAGATAAATGTGAACAGAGATTTCCCCTACACTTGCATAATGATTTTTTTAAAGTTAATTAAATGTTCTTAAAACATTAATTATATGTATTTTATCAAAATGGTATTAAATTTCTCCATTGAGAAATATGCCTTAATTGACATGGATTGTTAACAAACACAAAATTCCCAGACACAATTGTTGATTCTCCGCATACATTTGCAACCTACATGTACTGTAAATATTTAAGCATGTGTAACTGGTACTGGCACTTTTCAGAGACTGTGTAGCCAATGATATATTGGATAATAAATTGCCAAGTGTGAAGCACTGCGAAAGACATTAGGATCAAAAGAAACATTGTTTTGCTGGAAGCAACTTATAGTATCAACTTCCCAACATTCCAGTCTTGCTGGAACTGTCATGCACATTGTTCTTACTGCAGTACTAACATACAGCTCCTTGGGAGAAAGAGCACAAGTGTATTTTCTTTCAGTAGAAGAATTTTATATTTATGCAATATTGCTGCCCAGTGTGAACAACGGTACCATTAATGAACAAATGGACTCTAAGGCACCTCATGGGAACTATGTTGTTTAATTTTATGTCAGTGTTGGAATACATTTCCTTCTGAGCCTTGGTCGGAGGTTAGAAAGCAATGGATGGTGTATGTATACGTTATTTCAGCAAGAAGCTACAGACCATGGGGGGCCGTGACGTCTGATGAGAAAATACAACACACATTTCTGAAGAGCAAAGTCAAGAATGATTAATTGATCCTCCTATATTCTGTAATAATGTGGTCACTGCAAAACATTTATACTAGACAGCCTGCTGAAAGATGAAAAAATGTATTCAGCAATACACAGTAGGTTATTGCCATTAGCAGGTCAACTGGTGTTGCATACCAGGATTAATAATCGTACTAAATATCAATGAACACATTGCATTGTCTTACTAAGCATAATGAATAATAAAAGTCACCATATTAAAGCTGAAATACAATGCTCCATTATGAACATCTGACAGATTCCAAAGTATCCAGGAGCCTTAGCTAATACCGTATCTGTAATATAACTCCAGTAGTTAACTGCATGCATGCTCCATTTGTGTCCATATGGGTTTTCTCTGGGTGCTCCAGTTTCTTTCCATCTCCTAAAGATACGCTGGTCACTAAAGTGTCCCTGTGAGTGCTTGGAAGTACCTTAAGTGGTGTCCCATCCAGGACATACTGTCCCATCCCCCCTGTGCTTCCTCTTACCGTGAATAAATAAGCTCCTTTCTGATAATGGATGGATAGTTTACTGCTTCCCACATTATCTAATAGCCATTAACATTTGTTTTTACAAACGCAGCCTGCGGAATTAGTGTTAATACATTAACATTTGTCTCCATTTGGCACTTATTAATTGCTCTTAGTGCTTGGGATTCTAATTTCGAATTAGTGTTCATTTAAAAATATTGACACAGATGTTCTCTTTATGAATCCTGATATTTCATCATCTTTAGGTTCTCTGTCTAGGCACGTTTACAGTTTTTAAAATTTGATGTTGAAACACTTTAGACATGCTGTGTATTAAGAACCAGATGGAGTAAAGAATTTCATCTGCTTTATGAGTTGTAAACTTGTCACAGATGAGCGAGTAGTGTCCGGCGATGTACATAACGACTGCATTGATATTTGCAAACTCAAAAGAAATGTAGAAACGTATCACAGCTCTTTGCAGCCAAACTTTGGATGAATAATTAATTCTGGGTTTTCCTGTTAGAAGCCACAAAAGTGGAATGAACTTTGTGCAAATTAAGTATTGTCAAAATTTAAAATGTACTAAAGCTGCCGGCATATGAGATTCTGTGGACTTTGGACCATACACCCAATTACAGAAGTACGGTAACTGGAAGCTACAGGTATCTGAAGCAGGTACACTTATTAAAGTAACTTTAAATTGTACTTACTGTAGGTAACAAGACTCATTTGAGTCTTAGTATTAAATTCACCACTGTTTCAGTGGCTCAGGATATGCCTGACTACAATAAAATCCCAGCTGGGACCAGCTTTGCACATCACACCTAAATTAAATTGGGTTATGGAGTTTTAAACCGTTGTGCTTTGTGTGTTCAGAAAATATGTTGATACTATGCTTGAAGGATACAAGCCAACTCTGAAGTACTGTGGATATGATTTGAATGAATGCTATCTAAACTTGTTCCAGAATGATAACATTGCTTTGTTGGCAACAGTGTTTGCTTAACCCAAATATTTACAACTGCATTTACTTGAAAACTCATATTCCACTGTACAACCATAACAGTTAAAACACAGGACTGGTACATTTTATCCTCTGGAATCAGGTATTTGTCTTTTGCATCTGGTGTGTATTTTTAACTGGAAACTGTACTGTAAAATTAAATAAATTAAAAATATTAAACAAATGTCAAAATTGAATACATTTAATTAGAGTAATGAACAATCATATGTACATATCATATGTTTTTTGTCCACATTCACTTATATTTACTTGCTAAAGTCAACGTGCATTAATGACTGAACAAACATCATATCCATTTAACTCTTATGTTGCTTTTGGAGAAGTCCTTGTTACAAACTCATGAAATGATAGTACTGCCTTTTCTGTTTGTCTTCAATTGTTCTCAAAACAAACAGCTTTCAAATTGGCATTTAAAAAAAAACATCTCAAGCAACAGAAAGGTTAAGAACAATTTATTAGGATTTGTTAATGTCAGATTTACAAATGGTTGCATGATTTTTCCAGTCTAGATGTGTTTAATGCTCATCTCATAACAACGTACAAATGCTTGTGGCGGAAAGATACTGATATTGTAGCTGTCACCTGTCTGTACTTTGCACTTCTGACCCAGGGTCTTCATAATCTCATAAATGCCACCTGTAAAACATGAATTAAGAAGGCTGTGATGAATATACACTATATAACACTTCTGTACATTTGATTCTTCAGAGTCAAAGAATAATTGTTAATAAACTAAAATCAGAGGGGAGATGAATTAAGACAGTGGTGGCATTACAAATAAGCTATTATGTCTTTAATAGGAACTACGTATGTGATGCATGGAGCCAGCTTTGGTAGAGAAACTGAAATCACATTTAGAATTACTTTGTTATAAGTGTCATATTACCATTGCAGTTATGTTATAATATCTGACTCATAAACTGAGATGATTATTTATATTTTAAAAATCAATTTACCAGTGTATTCAGAATTAAATAGCTACAAATGGAGGGTTACAAAAATGTAGAAAATCAGGTAATGACCAAGTGACTTAGTCAATAACTAAATTAAATTATCATAGCCCCCAGGACTGCTCCAAGAATATACTATTTGAGTGGTATAATAAGAAGTATGTCAATTCTTTATTCTGTGGCACAGCTTTGGTGAAGAGAATAATTCAGGCGCGCTTAGTTAAACAAATATTTATTAACAATCACAATGCAAATACTACAATACACAAAACAAACACACAACACACACGTTTCTTCATGTACAAGTTTATAGAGAAGGCATTTAAGAGACCCAGGTCCAGAAAACCCCAGATTCGTACCAAGTATTCTGCTCTTAAATAATTTCTACCAAGGCCAAAGATAAGCAACCATATTCTAAACTAACAGCTTTTAAGTTCAACCTTTTTTCAAACCCAACACCCAGGCCCTGGTGTGAGTGTCTGTATGTGCCCTGGGATGAATTAGCATCCCGTCCAGGATGTAACCTGCCTCGCATGCCTTGCTTACTAGGTTAGACCCTGTATTGAATAAGTAGTTATGGAAAGTCATGTGATGATGATATATGTAGTGTCATAAATGTCATCTGTTCTGGTAAAAAAGGCATTGTCAGGGCATATTGTTCAATAACTGTCACAAATAAATGAGCAACCACTGTATTTATACCCTATCCAACTAAAGGGATAAAACAGATTTATCAAGTTCTGCTGGAACAAAGTCACTTAACTTCTTAGCAACTTCCATGTCAATGCAACTATTGACTAAGGAGAGCATCAGTAGATGTACTGTCTACAAGAAGCATCACACACAAGGAGAAGTGGTTAAACGTTTTTATATATAAAGATTTTATATTTCCCCTAACTGAAGCTCCTCTGAACATGCTCTAGTGTTCCTGCAATGCTCACTCTCACAGTGACTCTTTTAGTCCCTTATCATACTATATCACTTACAGGCAGTGTTGAGTGAATTATTCCATGACATCACAAACGGGGGAAGCAGCAGCATAGACGAAGACTTAATTTAATAAATGGTTATGTTTATGTTTACTGCCTGTTGTGTTTGGCACAGTTTAGAGCCCCTACTGTGGGAGAGATGGGATTTAAAGATGGTGGATCATACAGTTTGATTTTTAAAGTTCACAGTTTAAAATCTGTAAAACTAATAGTAATAAGTGAGAAGATTTGCACCTGTGGATCCAGTCCCAAAAATCTTTTGCAAGTGAGCTCCAGAGATCCTATCACCCACATGCAGGCTTATAGTGGGAACATACAGAACACCAGAATCATTGGACTTCAGGCTGAATTTAGAAGTATCAACAGATACAAGATCTGCCAAATACAGGGGAACCAATCTATTCATAGCCTAGAACTTCACCACATGTATCCTAAAATCAATACATAATTTGACCAGAAAGAGCACAGATTCCAGAAGAAAATCTACCAGGAAGCCGGTGCAAGGAGTCAAGGACAGGAGTGATGTGATCAACTGCGCATTCTAGCTGCTGGACATGTCTGAAACATGTCTGAAATTTTATTGATATACAGACCCTATAGGAAGTCTACACACCCTTTCCAAACATATTTTGCCTGAAATCATGAAACATTAAATCATGTATTTTACCTTTATTTACGCAACATCCAAGATAAAAACATGTTCAAGCATTCTGAAAAGTGACTACAAGTGAGAACCTAGAAAAATGGATTGGGTAAGTCTACATACCCCTCAGTTAGTACTTGGCAGAAGCACCTTTTGCTTGAATTATTGCCAAAATTATGTATGGATAGATCTCTAGCAACACAGCACACCTGCATGTGGTGAAATTTGCCCTTTCCTCATTACAGACCCACATCTCAGTCAGATTGAGAGGGGACTGTTGATGGACTGCAGCTTAAGTCATTCCACGTATTTTATTTTATGTTATATTGTTTTAAGTGCATAACTTACAACTTACGTAACTAAATTATTACTTTCTTATAACTATGGTTTACTGCCGTCCCCAATAGACTAATAATAGACATTCTCCCCCCTCTTGTACAATGGTCACAGTTAGATAAGCCATACATATAATATACTGCTTTTTATCTCAAAAGATCACACAGCACTTAACATATAGGAGTTTACACAATGATTTAACAACCAGGTGCAGAAGTGAGAAACAGTTGGATTAAGAAGGAACTTTTACTAAAGACAGATTGTACAAGACTACTGCAAACACAGCATGTTTCCATGACCCGATAGCAGTAATGACCAAAATAAATGTGGTATTGTCAGACATATCTAATTATGAGATCAGTGGACCATGCAATTGAATCTAACAAAATATGGAAAGTAGTGTAGCACAGCTGTATATAAAATCTGCTCTTTAATATCTTAAATGCAATCAGTAAACACAGAGGAAGACTGAACAGAGTAATGATCAGAGATTACAAAATGGACAATATTCAATATCACAATATTCAGATCAGAGACAGAATATTAATACATACTGAAATACTGATTATTACTACTACCACAATCATTTACACCCACATAATTCACTAACATTTCATTTTAAATTAAGCACTACCCTTGCTACCTGAGCATATTTTATTTGGACAAGGTCGGGTGAAGAATTCACAGTTTCAAAACTGGGTATTCATACACCCTGCAGCAATAAGGCACAGTGCCCTGCTCTGACATCTCAATGACCTAATCAGAGCATGTATCTGACCTTGGGGAATGGTATTTCATGCTCTAATGAGCTCCTGCTCAGCCTCTGCTAGTGTCTGCGGTTGCCTTCAGAGACTTCAGTCCATTATTAATGGTAATATCAGACTCACACTCATTTTAGTGAACGTAAAACACACAACAAGTGTAATTTATTTGAATCCTGGAAAACTGTTACATTAGGAATGCAGAAATCAGAAGATTTAAGTATACATCTTTAGAATGTACTAGTTTATGTTTCGATAAGCCCTGGCTTCTTGTTTTTTAGGAGAGCAAAGCAAAATAAATCATTTTATTTTACAGATTATTTTCCTAATCAATGTTCAATTTAAACTGCTGAACACAACCTTCTGTCTAAACTTTTTTCAAGTCAGGTAAGGGGCACTGGCAAGGCGACATCATGTGAAAACAGCGATTCCAAATTACCTGGAATTAGTAAATTGAAGTAAAGTTGGAACAGACATTTACATTTATACCATATTACAGTCTAATAATATTAAATAATTATAATGGAAAAGAAGACTCAGATGGTTAAGGTATGAAAAATTTTGCAGGTGAGGCTAGATTTCAGTGCAAGCCAATTTTGTTTGATAACAAAGAAGAAAGTAGGGAGAATATTGAACATCCTCAAGGGGAAAATTATCAGAAAATAACATGGTCACTGTTTCACTTGTGTTCATGAAGGTGAAACAGATATCTCCTTTGAGGACAACAAGCAGTTAAAAAGTTGAGAAAGCAAAGCAAACAGCATATGGAGGATAGCTCTGGCACATCATGAGAGCACAAAACACAATTACTTTACGCCAACTATTTAAGCCAATGTTTAGCTTCCTTAAACCCATTCCAAGAAACTTATCTTTGATGCATACAGCCAGATATTTCTTATTACTGCACTTGGCAAGGCAAAGTTAATATGCTTTGAAACAATATAAAATGCCTTTTAGATTACTACATGTGAAAACATTACAAAAATGTAAAAAACCTTGATAGGACTCAGACGAACACCTCTAGAAAGCGTTTGATATGCAGTTCTCAGGTCACCTCTTCATAGCTGCTCAGAGACTTTTTACTGTTTCACTTTTTACAAATGTTCACCGATAAATTACAAAAAAGATTAAACTGTTTCAAAATACAAAGCCATTCCAGGAATACCAAATAACCAAATAACCAATCACTTCTGAACTGCAATGAAGTTGACTGCAGTGTGAAAATAAATATAAAATATTCATACTATGCTTAGCACATAAGAAGGGTATTTATTGAATTGATTGATATGTACATGATTTGCATCCTCAACTTTGTTTGCATTAGGACCATTGATTTACACCCTAAACCTCCTTTATGTGAAGCTATAAAACATTATTCCTGGATGATGAAGCAGAAACCAGTTTCTTAACAGATTTCATAAATATATTTAATATTTCCAAAGTTACCTTTTTTCATACAAAACTTTGTATGGTGCAAAATGATATAATGAAAAATAAACTGCAGTGAAACAGTGTCAAAGAAAAACCCACATGAACTGGCCCTCATTGGAGTACAAATGCAGTATGGCTTGAACCTAATTGTTAGTCTGAAAAAACCCCATAAATCGAGTCTTTTTTCTTCATATATATTCCGTACATGAGTGTTGATATGATATTGCATTGATAGAAATCTGCCTGATTTGTGATCGAGACCCCCTGTAGTTGTTGATTATTCTGTCCTCTCCCGATTACTTTCCAGTTCTCTCTCCAACCCCATTTCTGCCTCTATCCCGTCTTCTTCTTCTCTCTAGGCTCCCTCTGCTAGCAGAATGTCAGTCCCATCTCATTGCCAGCTGCTCAACCTCCCTTGACTGTCTGCAGCAAAGCTGGTTACCGGCCACCATTGCCTCTTGCCACCTCCAGGAGACTTCTGAAAAGTGATCTGTCTGTGTCTGCATCTATCTTCCCCTCACCCTCA